ACTCTTGCTTTGTACATACACATTACCAATAATGAAACCCTTTTCTTCAAATGAAAAATTTTTTAAAACATTGAAAACAAAAAAAGCATTTAGTAAAAAAAAAAAATTCAAGAGAGATAAAGAGCAAAAGATAGCATACGTACTTACTTAAAATCGTAACGTACTTAAAAGATGTTTGAGACGGAATTATATTAAGTATTTAACAACTTAAATAAAAATTATTTATTATGAGTTATATTGGTTAAGTTCTAGAATATCAGTTAAGGTCTAGAGTGTTCATTATATTTTTTTATATTATGGCCCACAGTTTAGATTAGATTAGAGCAAACAATTCAAATAAGAAGCTAAACTTCATTAAACTTTGTATAAAAGAATATATTGACCCCACAGCTATAAACCCTTAATCTAAGTATATTGTACCTGAATGTTTCAGCCTTAGATTTCCAGTCATCAACTAGATAGAGTCTTTTGGTGTCTTTTTGACAGTAATGAGACTCCAATTTTCTAATAAACTCATCGGCATACTGCTTACTCAATTGAAAAGTATCAAGTTTAGTATATAAATCTGGTTTAGATAATGTGTAAGGATTTGCTTTTGGGAATTCTGCTAGACAAAAATGTCTTATTGTACTATGCCAGAGTGTTTAAAAAAAAATGCTTGCATACAGGCTGTACAGTATTTTTAACTTTTAGGTGGTAGGCAAACTCATTGTTAGAGTATTTATCGTATGGGTTAATAACTGTTCTTCTTTTAGTATTGCTAATACAAACTAATAATTTAACCATTTCAATTTTCAGATTTTTATCAAGAGACAAAACTAAGTTAAAATATGTCTTGTGATTAATGTCACAATACTGCTTTTTTTGAAAGCACATAGTACTTTCACATCTTGAACCAAGTTCTTTGGCATTTTTTGAATTTTTTTTTGGAACTCCATCAACTAGTTTAGTACTGGTATATTCTTTACCTTGTTCGCGCAGTCTTTTGTTTACATTCACAAAAGCGCTTTTTTTATACTTTTTTTTAATGTGTTAAGATCATGCCTAATATTTAATACATTACATGATTTATCAAAAATATTGGGTTCAAAGTTATTTTGGAGTTCAACTGTTAAAAATGTTCTTTCTCTTTTCGATAAACCATTATCATTTACTATTTGAGTTATACTGCAATCAAAATACCTTATTTTAATAATGTTACATGAAATTAAATTTATAAAACCCGGATGCATTTAATACCTTGGTGGACTGTTTCTCCTTACTCTTCTTATTTTCCGTCAAATTTAATTTAATTTCACAAGTTTTTCTTCATAAGCAATGTCATGTATAGTGGCTAAGAGCCTACCCCCTACCCCCTGAAAGGCCTAAAAATTTTAAATGTTTTAAAAAAAAGTCTTTAACGTTATAAAACAACCCATAAATTTGCAAGTGGATCTCTAAATTCGTTACGACCCCCTAATTTGGGTGTGGGGCAGCCTAGTCATAGCTCTATCCATGGGTATTATTATAATACCTATATAAAAAACTAATATTTTGATGTGCCCAATGAAATTTTGTGCTAAAGTCTGAAAAATTATATATATATATATATATATATATATATATATATATATATATATATATATATATATATATATATATATATATATATATATTATATATATAAAAAAAAATATATATATATATATATATATGTATGTATATTAAAATATAATATATTTATATTAGGGATAGGGCTGAAAATATTTATTGTTAATTTTTATTACAAAAAGAAGTCTAGTTTCACAGATTAAAATTTTTTTTTAAAAAAAAAAAGATTGTTAAAAAGCGTATTAAGAAAAAATTAATTTTTTATTAAAAAAAAAATATAATTTTTTAAAATTTATTATGAAATTTTGCTGCTTTTGAGAGCCAACTTTATATATTTTGAGAAAAAATATTTATGATATACGACACTTCCCATTTTATTGAGTAACTTCGGTGATACATTTTTTGAGTTGATACTTGCAAATGACATTTTCTTAATTTAGAAAGATGCACAGATGATCAAACAACTCTGGCCCAAGAGCTTTATTTTTGATCAACATAATGGTTAAGGTGACATCTGAATGTATTTACTTGAGGTTGAGTTTCAAACTATAGTCTGAAACTCAAACCCGACTGAACCTAATTATTAATAAACCAAACCAAATCCGGGAGAAAATGGTATTAAACCAGATAACTATTTATTCATGTGTTTAATTTATTTTGTGTCATCTACAAAAAAAAAAGATTATGACAATAAGATTATATATGGACAATAAGATTATATAGGAAAATTTCCCTTTTGCCTGTTTGCTTATGGAACCAAATTTACTTACTAAAATTACTTGAATTTAAATTATAGTCACATTTAGATAATTATTAACTTTACAAATTATAATTTAACATACAAACACAACTTATCTAAAACATCTAAAACTTTGTTGACCTTACATATTTTTAAGATCTAAAATATTTTATTTGATGATAGCAATAATACACTTTATTTGATGATAGCAATAATACACTTTATTTGATGATAGCAATAATACACTTTATTTGATGATAGCAATAATACAAAAATACACCAGAATTAGTTTTGAAGCTAAACAAACCAACTTGTTATTTTCACACCAAAACAATAACATTTGTTTTTTATTTGTTATGATTTTAATTTGAACATATACAGTTGGTTTTGCGTATACACGTCACGAATTGATCACACATTGATCAATTCGTGACGTGTATACGCTTACTAATTAAGTTCAGAATTGAGATGCAGACTGTTCTTTTTTTAGCAGCTAAAATGATGTTTTAAAAGTATTGTAAATTTTTCATTTGCATTAACTTGTCTTATAACTATTTATGTCATATAACTATTTTAAAGTATTGCATTAATTTGTTAACTAATCACTTCTTAACAAAGTCAAATGTGGCACGTTAAACTTTTTTTTAAAACTTAAACAGATTTATATATCAAGAATAGATGAAAAATAATGCAATTATTGTTTTCTTATTTAAAATATACTAGTAACAACATTTATCATCATATCTGCCAATCGTAGTGAAACTATTTATGTCATATAACTATTTTAAAGTATTGCATTAATTTGTTAACTAATCACTTCTTAACAAAGTCAAATGTGGCACGTTAAACTTTTTTTTAAAACTTAAACAGATTTATATATCAAGAATAGATGAAAAATAATGCAATTATTGTTTTCTTATTTAAAATATACTAGTAACAACATTTATCATCATATCTGCCAATCGTAGTGAAATCACATTTTTTCAAGGCGCAAAATTTCGTGCAATGAAAATTTTAAACGCCCGGGGAATGCAGATAGTTCAAAAATAAAGCTAGCGGAAAATGCAGATAGTCCAATTTTTTTTATGCGGAGATTGCAGATAGCTCAATTTTGCTATAGGCGGAGATAGCAGATAGACTGATTTTGCGCGGAGCCATCAATATATATATATATATATATATATATATATATATATATATATATATATATATATATATATATATATATATATATATATTCACAACGTAAAATTGGTTACATTAATACCGTAAAATCTGTTACCATTTAACTTCGGTCATCTAAGAATAATATAAAAAAAGCATGCAAAGCTCAAATTTTACAAACTTTTTTTTCTCGAATAATATTTGTAATTACTTCGTAAATATGAATCTGTAAAAAAAAAATAATGTTTATATGCCACCTGCTGAAATAATATTTTAGCAAAACAACAATTTGAAAAAATGCATACTATTAAAATCTAAAATAAGCAAATTATTAAAATAATTGATCAATTTTAATCTTAGTATTATTAAGAATCACCAAATTTACAAAAAAAAAAAAAAATTAATTTTTGAAAATTAACTACTTTTTTTATAAAAATTATTGAAATTTTGAAATATTCGGTTTGAAAAACTTCGGTCACACACGGATAAACAACAAGAGACAATTAGCAATAATATTGTGAAATGTTGATAAGTGTCGCGAATTTAAAATTTACCGGTAACTTTACCTGTAAATTTTGACATTTTTTTAATGGATCATGGTTTTTTTTATTTCAATAAAAAATTTGTTCATAATTTCTAAATTAACTGACGGTTCTTTGAGTTCTAAAAAATGTCAAGCTTGTGACATTTTTTTTTTTTGGAGATAAAATTACAGCTCAATGACAATTATGGATGCGTTTCGAATCCTGTGACAATGGGTTGTGTGGATCTTGCTGTTCTACTATGGTCAACGATACGTGCAAGAATTGCCAATAAACATACAAAGCTCATTTAAATCAAAGTTTTTATTTTATTGAAAAAACCTTTTTAACTTAATTGAAAAATATTTTTTTAATTTTATTAACCAGTGACGTAGCAAATGTGATAATGGCCAAAGTAATAAATAGTTGACTAATTACAATAAAAAAAAAAATTTCAGCCCGGGGCGACGCCATACTTAGTTATTGGTATTACCTAAATTTATATCATAATTTTACAATAAAACAATATTTAAAGATTAGTTTATGAAAATTTGTGAAGTTAATTTTGTGATTAAGGGGTTCTATGAAAAGATTGCGATGACGTTCTGTCATCCTCATCTTCTTTGAGTCCCTATCTGTTTTACTTATTTTGTTAAATTTTATATTATGTAGTAGAATCTGTAAAATTCTTATGTTATGTAAACAGAGAAAAAAAAAAAATATCTTATTAGTATTTACATATCTTATTAGTACTACATATATATATATATATATATATATATATATATATATATATATATATATATATATATATATATATATATATATATATATATATATATATATATATATATATATGTATATATATAAACACTTTGAAATAGTTTCATATGTTAAAATAGCAAAAGTTAGGTTATTAATAACTTAATACTTTTTTAAGTCACATCGATTAATGAAACTTAAACATGACTAATATTTTATTATAGGTTGTTGTGTCCCATCGGTCAATGATACTTAAACGTGACTGTGAAATGGCTATGGTTCATCAGTGTTTAAGCAAGTTGCCTTTTTCAATGAGTGTCGATGATGTTGAGAAGTTTATCTCAGATTCATTAGTGTTTTTTAAGAGACACCCTCCCGATTCTTTGTCAAAAGATATTATTTACCACATGAAACAAAGGTAAAATTATATAAACAATGCATACATTTTATGTATTTTCTAAACAGCTTATACTATTTCACATATTTTAATTTTAGTTTATACAATAACAGCATCTTTTGACTTTTTTTTAAGTGACTCAATTGCTCTTCATTCAGACTTGCTTGAGCGTTCTCAGGCTCAACGTCCGGATAGAGTCCTGCGTAAAAGAAAAAGAATGGGTAAACTTTTATGTGAAAATTCTTTACCTATATTGTCTGTTGCTACTACAGAGGAGTTAAATGCGAATCAATCAAATTTGTTAGTTAAAGCTGCTGTTTGGACTATGACAATATCAATGGGAGTTATGACATTTTTAGTATTGAATACTGGAAAATGGGTTTGAAAGTAGTTTAATGAAGACTAAAAATTCCAATTTCCTTTGTTACAAAAATTTATAAATTTTATTGTTTTCACTTTTATGCTATAATAGTGGCTGGTGAGGAGAAAGGAGGCGCGGTTGCTATATTTTCTGTAGCAAAAACCGAATCAAATACGTTTCTTTCTTACACAACTGAAAAAAAACTTTTTTACCAATAGTGTGTTAAGTGAAGCTAATAAAATATTAAAATAATGATAAATTACACCAAAAAAAAGGGTCGAAGTTTCAGTCCATTACCCATAAATCTCCGTCTATTTGCGTCTTCTAAAAAGAGTCAAATTTTATAAGCTTTTACCTAAATTACAATATGAACTGTTTTAAAAAATAATATTACCAGTATCAAAGATAGCTTCTAAACTCTAACTTCCAAAACTAAGATGAGATGTTAAACCTATCGAAACTAAGAATTTACAACATTGTTTTTCACAAACCATTTATAATTGTTAATACAGAATTTACAGAACTCTAAGAAAATGTAAAATAAATAAAAATTTACAGAATGTAAAAATTAAAATTTGTCGTAGAGCAGCTAAAAGACAGCTTTTTTAGAGCAGAAAGAAAAAAATGTTTGACTAGAGCAAGAAAAATGGAATAAATAAAATTATTGATTTAAAAATGATTTTTTTCTTATTAATAAATGTATTAAATGAGTACTTAATTCACAATAAATAAAATATATATGTACTATGATAAAGTAAAATTTCGTGAATACAGAACTTGAAATATAGAACTATATACAGGGCCGACGACAAGTGTTTAGAAGTGGGGGGGGGAAGGGCGCAATCGTCAATTTCTAAAAAATGTTTTCCAAACCTATTATTTTCTTTTTTTAAAAAAAAAGGTCCTTTAGAAAAAAAGTGGGGGATACTGCCCCCCCCCCCCCTCCCGTTGTCGTCGGTCCTGATATATAAAGAACTAAATATAGAACTCAAAGCATTAAATAATCCTTCCATCTTGAAAAAAAAATTAATACACCTCAAACTTAATATCAACAATTTTATTGACATGTATTAAACTTAACAACAAGTTTTATTCTAAAATATTTGACTGTATATTGTTTAATCACTTTTAACTAAATATAAAAATTAATTATGTTTATTTAACCATTTAAAGAGGTATCGATAATAAGACTTCGTAGTTTTCTACGAGTCTCCTTTACAACAACATTTTAATATTTGAAAAAATATTTTTTAGTAATTATACAAAAAAAAACACTTATTAGTTCTTATAATAAAAAAAACATTTATTAATTTAACGTTATATTTTGTTATAATTGCTAAATTACGTATTCTTACGTTATGTTATATATTTTATACTTTGCATTAAATTATGTGATAGAATTGTAACGTAATGAAGTGTAAATATATTGAAGTTGTAATAAAAAATAAAAACAGCTATATATACCAGTTCATCATATAAAACATATGGCTCTAAAAACTAAAAAAAAAGCCTAATCAGTTGATATGACTATAGAAACAAAGAAGGCTTTACCTAAGGAAACGTGAAACAAAAATAACATACAGAGCTGTGACGCATGTAAAGAAAATATACCACTCAAAGTGTACCCCTAACGATTTCTGTGAGTCTTGCCTTACAATGGAGATACGACATTTTTTTCCCTAACTATAATTTTTGTCTAATAACATTTTCAAAAAATATTTAATTTCATTTTTAATTTTTGCAATTCAAAGCTTAATAATGTGGTTATTTAAATTAGTTATTAACAAAAACATGTCGTTTTTATTTTCATATAACATTAATCCAAGTGTTACGGGGGCTGTTATCCACTTCCCCTATTGTTTTTTAATATGTAATAAGAAAAAAATTATTTATATATAAAAGCATAATTAAAAACAGGTAAAACTTAATTATTTTTCGTGGCATTAGCTTTTTAAAGCAAAATTTAAAAAAAAGGTTCCACATGATCCCGCAGAGTTTCCAATTGTTGAACTTCAATATCAGATATGCTTTAAATGTGTCGATCGTGGAAATTTTCAATTCGTTGACAGGTTTTAATTCTATCTAATAATCTTTTAGTGTTCGAAACTTATGAACATTTAAAGTTCATATTTCTTAACTCAATTCCTTAAAGTACAATAGGTTTGATGTTCGATGCCGGCTCTTACCAAAAAAGCGATTTTGTCAAGCAAAAAACCGTAAACTCCCTGCTCTTTTGCAGTGCACTGTGTAAAGACCGTTAAGCCTTCTTCTTCTTCGTGCGAGTTTTTGTGTATGTTTGTGTATGAGGAAAAGAGGGTTCGAGCATTCCTCGGAGTTCATAAAAATCTTAGTAAATTATCGTTATGTCAAATTACCAAAATGTAACTTATAAATATTTACCATAATCTAACTTACTGTTATGTCAAATTACCAAAATGTAACTTATAATCTAATTTTTTAAAATTGTATCACAGCAGTTGAAAACCATTCTAAAGTCATAATTTTTTTTACACATTTTTACCTATAAAGTAACTAATAAGGTTTCCAATTAAAGAAATATGATTTAGGGTGAAATGCAAGAAGCGAACTTGAGTCAAGCTCGACTTGAACTTTACATTGTAACCAATAGCGACAGAGTATGGGTTTTCCCCTCAAAAAATACTCTGCCACTATTGGTTACAAAGTAAAGTTCAAGTCGAACTTGACTCAAGTTTGCTTCTTGCATTCCACCTTTAGAAGTTCATTGAATAATTTGCCGTAAAATAAAATTTACATTGTGCAATATTTAACTTTAATAACATAGCACCGACAATAATATATTTTAAAATTCCATAATGGAGTCATCTTTTTGATTGAAAAAATTACCAACTAACAAACTCTTAAGTAACCTTCATTCATGATAAATCATATGATCTGAAAATTTCCCCACGGATTCCTAATATATAAATCTAAAATTCCAGTTTACAACATATATCTTCTTTTAAGTGACGCCGTAAATATATTTGTATTTTGTAAAAAACAGACATTTTGATGGTTATTTTGCTTGAAACTACTATATAACTCTAATTTAGACATATAGTTGTAAACTGGAATTTGAGATCAACTAGAAAGCTCTCTTTATAAGTAATAATATTAATAGTTAATAACGTATCAATCTGATTATTTTTAATTTTAGTACTAGTTTTTAAAAGAAATTGAATTTCATTATCTATATAACTTTTAAAATAGCAGATTTTATAAAAAAACGAATGATATATGTTCGAACTTTACTTTTATTTAACGAAATATAATTAAAATACTATTATATAACCCTAATTTAATGCTAAAGATTATATTTTTTTGCAATTTTTAAAAAATAATAATAGTTTACGGACGTTTTGGATCTAGTTTCGATATATATTGATATTTAAAAAAAAAGGCATTTGGGAGAAAAACAGTAAAAAAATAACCGCCGTGCTCGGTCTGGCTTTCATTGCATGTTGTGAGAAAATTATATTTATAAAATTATATTTTTAAATGTATAATATGTTGCTATGTGTTAAAATGTATTTTATATTATTTTGCATGTACTCATTCAGGACCAGCGCAAGGGCCATGCGAGTTATGCGGTAGCATTGTGCGCTGGCTTGGCTGGGGCGCCGCGCTGGCGTAACCAACGTTTTTTTTTTTTTAAATCATTAAAATTTTAAATTTCAATTTAAAAAAAAAAAAACTTAAATACATTTTTTAGCGTCCATATTTTTTTTAGCGTCCATAATGTGTAGGGTAGAGAGGGGCTAGTTGAGCATAGGGCAAGTTGGGCAACTAAAATATCTCATTTTAAGGTCTATTCACTTCTTTAAATTAATCATTATTAAATACTCAAAACAATTATAAAGTAATATCTTAAACCTTTTTTTTAAATATGTTATTATGGTTTAAAAATATTTGATTTTTTATTATTTTTATAATATTTTTATTTCAATATTACATGGTCAGTAAAATCTTAAAGTTGAAAAGTTCTTGAATAAATTTTTTAAATTAATCTTGTTTAATATGTTTATTATTATAATAATAAACATAGTGTGCATATTTAAAAAACATATAACCAATTTAAAGTATATATTAGGGTGTGTCATACTTTAATCAAAACTCAAAAATTCATATTTACCAGTGGCATTTTTTAAAAAAGGGTGAGGTTTAACATATGAAACTTAGAAACATCAAAAAATTTGAATTTAAATGAGTTTAAGCTACCAGGGAACTGCCTTGAAAATTGCCGAAAAGTGTGAATTTTTGATATTTTTATACTTTCAGGGTCATTTTCAATATTTTAGACTTATATCTGTTTTACAACAACCTTATCTTAAGAATTTAGGAATAAGGAAAGGAAGATAAGAAAGCAGGATAAGTAAAATTCATTTAATAGTTATACTGTTTCAAAAATTTTATGCTGATTAAGAATCGTATAAAAACATAGCTCTGAAAATTGAAGCAAAGTACTCTAATTTGATGTTGAAGTTTAAAAATTACACTAAAAACGCTATTATTCACCATTATTTTTGTACTCTGTTATGATTAAAAGTAAACTTTGAAAATAACATAACCTGGTTTTTATTGTCAACAAAAAACGAAACTGTTTTTTAGTTGCTACTGATTTAGAGATAGGCAAGGGCTTCAAGGAAGAATAATGGTATAAATTGATACCTGCCCCAACCCTGACCCTTCGATGTGTTATCAACTCTCTTGCGAGTTCTTCCTAAATCAGTCGATGTATGTACTGAAGCCCTCGCCTATCCCTAAATCAGTAATTAAGGGCAAGAGGGCAAAAGTTAACAAACAGAATTTTATGCCACTATTCTGCAACATTACCTTTAAAAGTTTAATTAATTTTTTAAATATAAAGAACAATTTATGTAAAAAAAAAAGTTTATTTTTTAATTATAATTAATAATTGTACTTTTTTTAAACTATGTAAATTTTAGTATCGATGAAAATAAAAACCGGGTTGCGTAATTTAAAATAAGATTTATACAAAAGCGTTTAGTTGCATTTAAAAAAGATAGCGAATATTAGCGTTTTTTGTGTAATATTTTAAACT